GCTGATTCAGGCCATCACTGTTACAAATGTATCATCTCATTAGAACCATCCTTACTGTCACCAAAAAACAGCTGTAAGAGTTACAGCAGCTTCTTACTTTGTTACCAGCTGAGTGTGTGTGTTGTGTGTGTGTGTGTGTGTGTGTGTGTGTGTGTGTGTGTGTGTGTGTGTGTGTGATGTGTGTGTGTGTGTGTGTGTGTGTGTGTGTGTGTGTGTTGGTGGTGTGTGTGTGTGTGTGTTGTGTGTGTGTGTGGGTGTGTGTGTGTGTGTGTTGTGTGTGTGTGTGTTGTGTGGTGTGGTGTGTGTGTGTGTGTGTGTAGTGTTTGTGTTTCTTTGGACGCGACTCGATCCTGTTGCCCGGCGCCAATCGCCATTGGGAACTGTGCACGGTGCAAGTCATACAACTTAACATTTGAGGCAAAAAAAAGGTCAACTTTGAAGAAAAAGTGACATTTCTGAAGAAGACTTAGACTTAGACTTAGACATACTTTATTGTAATTTCAACAAGAACACAGAGTGTACTATTAAAACAAAATGTTGTTGTACTGGCTTACAGGATACATATAAATAAATAGACATACTAACTGTATATAGAAAATATGGTGCGCTTTACACAGTGTAATGTAATCTCTGTGTTACTGGTCTACTTAATATTCAGCAGTCTGATGGCATGGGGGAAAAAGCTATTACAGAATCTGACTGTTTTGCTCTTAATGCTGCGGAACCTCTTGCCGGAGGGCAGCAGGGAGAACAGAGCATGGTGAGGATAGAGTGGGGTCCTTTAAAAAATGTTTCTGGGCTTTTGTCAGGCAGTGTTTCTGAGCGGTGTCTCTGATGGGAGGGAGAGAAACTCCGATGATCTTCTTCTTCTGCTGTCCTGACCACTCTCTGCAGAGACTTCCAGTCTTTGGCGTTGCAGTCTCTCGACCAGATGGAGATGCCGCTGGTCAGCACTCTCTCTATGGTTCCTCTGTAGAACGTGGTGAGGATGAGAGGGGGGAGCTGTGCTCTTCTCAACCTGCGCAGGAAGTGTAGGCGCTGCTGTGCCTTCTTAAATAGTGATGTCGTGTGAGTGGACCAAGTCAGACTGCTTGTGATATGCACCCCCAGGAACTTGGTGCTGTCTGTAGTCTTCACTGCTGTGCCGTTGATGTGGAGTGGTGGGTGACAGTGCTTTTTGTTCCTGAAGTCAACAATGATCTCTTTTGTTTTATCGACATTCAGGATCAGGGTTGTTGGTGTTACACCAGTCTGTCAGATGTTTCAACCTCCTCCCTGTAGGTGTTGTCCCTGATGAGTCCCACCACTGTCGTATCGTCCGCGTACTTTATGATGTGGTTGGTACAGAACCTGGAGAAGGATGATAGAAATAATAAATAGGCAAAGATATTAGCTTTTTAATGCTTCATTTGTAGAGAGCTTATAGTACAATCAAGATTGATTGCCTGGTGTCTTTTGTAGTACATAAGAACAAACTTAATAAGATGTTATATACTGTATGACAACATTGCAGGTGAACAACAGCACAGTGGAAAATAGCTTTGTGAGGTCCAGAGTGGTGATGAAAGGCAGTAAATAGGCTATATGAGTTGTTTACCCAGGACGGATATACAGTTAGCTGCTCCCTTTGGGGACAAACCATTTCCAGAAAACCTTCAAATCTTCTGCTTAAGCTCTAGTTTTGTAAAAGAAAATGTGATCGATATCAGGTGTGTGTTATGTGGAGCACTTGCATTTACACTGTAAATGTAATGTCTTTTTTTTCTAGTTGTGATTTGCGTCTAGCATTTACCACAGACACAGAGATAGTTTCAACATAAATAAATAAACCAAAACAAGTTACTCCTCCTGGCTGTTTCTGCCCCCTCCTCTGTGATGTGTTTAAAATGAAACGTTGCCATTATGCAGCTGTCCTCCCTGACTCAAAGCTATGCTCTGTCTCCAAGGTGACAACACCTTTACATTGTAGCCATGGACACCACATCTATCACCCAGAGCATGGCATCTAGTGACTTGCACATCAAAGAGCCATCAGTCATGATGATGTCAGATGAGCTTAACTATGTATTTCACATACCCAGCAAAAATGCAATGACAGCAACTCCACACAGTGAGATATAAAGCCACAGCACCCGTCAGAAAAGATGCTGACTGACGGAGAAATCAATGTGTATCAATTGGGTGCACAGCGTGAGGTGAATGACAAGCGTGTCCTTTGGCCTGATGATATGATATTCCCAGCGAGGTCATCAGAGTTTCTCCCCGTCCTGTTGCAGCTCTGGATCTGTATTATTGAGCTCAGGCCCTCCAGCTCTCTGGAGTGCTATATTTTCAGTAATTGAGTCGTGGGATACACGACTTCAGCTCCAGAGTGTGTATGTACTGTATATGTGTGTATAAGAGCTTCAATGTGTGTGCGTGTGTGTGTGTGCGTGTGTGAGTGTGTAATAGATGTTTTGACTGGCTTGTCAAAGGTAATTGAGTCGTAGGTAAGAGAGAGTGAATTTGCCAGCTGTCAGTCTCTTAAAAGGCAAATCCATCAGAATGCAGCAGTCCCTATAACCTAAAGAGACATGTGTGCTGGTGTGTGTTTGCACATTTCTGCCTGCCATGCATACTATAGATACTGCACCTCCAAACAGGCAGGGCTGCAGCTGTATAAAAGGCCACAGCACTATGATTCTGTACCATTACTATTTTGACTACAGAATGTGCATGACAAATGGAGTTTGAACATGGACATTCTGTAATCTTGAAGTCAATCTGTTTAAGTGAAGAGAATAAAACAGTGATTCATCCTCAATTCTCATTTAGTACAAAGAAACCATTTTCCCTTTAAGGGACATTTTCCAACCGAATTCTGAGCTACTGTATGAGAGAGTTTTTGCAAAACAGAAATGAAAAATAAAGAACATATGCACATATTCCAAAAGCTTTGTGTGCTGCTTGTTTGAAATGTCAAAAAACATTAGGCCTGAATATCAAAACCTGCAGTTTGCCCTGTAGATTCTCCACGAGCCAGCCACAATATAGATTATCTTTATTTTAAGATGACCATTAGTCCACCTGCCTACAGTATGTGACTTGTTATCGTACACATGTTATTGTGTAAGTCTGTTCACATCATTTCCACCTCCTCCAAAGAAGCACAGCAGACATATCCTTACCTGCATCGATAATGCAGCTATACAGCTCCTTATTGCCAGCATCAGCACATCTGCCTCGACATAAATACTAGAGATTTAGCATATGCTTTCGCACACTGACTTTATTTTAGGTGATTATATTTTGGTAGCCTATTGTGTTTTTAATCTAACAGAATACAAAGTGCTTCATGGGGTTTTTATGCTGACTTGAATCAAATCAAAGAACCTCAAGGATAGAGCTGAACAGCCAACAGCTGTGCTAGTCTGCACATAATCTGTCTGTCTCCTCCAAGGTCACACTGAGAGAGAAAGATATTAAATACAGCAGCACCAATAGTAAACATGAAAAGAGGAAAAAACAGCAACATATAATATTGAAATGTCTTGTTTTTATCTTCTGATGAGCTTAATACGTAGATGATCCCATGCATGTATACTGAGATGTTGTGTACATGTTGATATGCTTTCTGCCCTCGCTGTGTTTTTATCAAGGGACATTTCTCTCAGTAACCCACCTGTCAGCATGGTGTTTTGGCTGTCATATTTACAATTTGACCCAGTTATAGACTGTGAGATGTGACAATTCTGACTCCACCAAGCCATCACGTCCGTTCTTTGTGGTTGACATCAAAGCAGCAGGGTAACATAGTCTTTCAAGATACAAATGATATTAGAATTGTGATGTAGGAAGCACAATTATTACATCAGTCTTACCCTTCAGAATAGGGTTTCTTGGAATCTAGCTTTTAAGAGGCTAGTGTTCCTTCTTAGGCCTATATCAACATCACCATCTTACACCCACTTCATTTTTACGTTTGATGTCATGCATGAATGATAGCTATAGACTCTGTCTGTTCATGCATTAGAACCCAGCATTGATTATTCACAAAGCCCACTAGCTTTAATTTGGGTATTTTACTCATAACCTGTAACTATAAACCTTCACCTAGTGATTTTCTGGATTATACTCTCTCCTATAGCACCATCTGGTGGGCAAAATTGAATTAAACTAAAGAGCACTCACCTTTAACACCCAGTGTGTCAAAGTGGTTGCTGCTCTCTGTATTTTCAAAACGTTACAACACTGCGTCAAGCTAAATGGGTACTAATTTTTCAGCAAACCTTTATGAAAACAACTGTATGCTTTCAGTTTTTAAAAGCTTTTTTAACAAAATATTATTGTGAATCTGATGTACAAATTCATCTGTCGATTGAATGTTTCTCATAACTCATTATGCTGCTTTCAAATCTGTGTCTTAGTGCTGTACGATACCAGTAACCTCTGTGGAAACATTGGTATAACTGCATTTTTGTATTTATATTTGAATGTTGTATGTCTTTTTAAAAAAATTGACCAAGAGTCTCTTTAAATAAAGCTCTTTAAATACTGCTCATAAGGGCACTCTAGTTAATGAGAGACAAACTAGAAGTAAGCTGTTAAAAAATTAATCAGACAACCATATTTACTACCATTTACAAATCAGAGGGCATGGAAATAATATACAGAAGAAAAAAATGTATGGGCAATTATCAGAAGATAAGGGGAATACATTGACATGAATTGAGAGGAAAATAAGTTGGTAGCCTTATAATGACTACATTAAGTTAGGACAGCGTTATCTGACCGGCACACCCAGCATCTAACCGGTGCTTATAAACACTTTCAGGATCCAAACACTACTGGAATATGATGGATGTGGACTAGATGTTTGACTGGTGGGGCAATAAACGCACCCACCAGACACTGTAGGAGTTAACTAACTCCAGAAGATGGCAGCAATGCAACACTAACTGATTTTGAACCTCAGAGAAGAAGGAACCTTTCTTCTGCATAGCCCAACCAACACGGAACTTATTAGGGATACACTAGCAATGCTAACCAGCTGTGTGGCTAGCCGGGTTCCTGTCGACAGTTATTCACCTTGCTTCCTCACAAGTTAACTTTCACTGTAATTTACCTAACTGCTACATAGCCGCATGACAGCAACTTTGCTGTCTATGTGTTACGGTTTTGTGAAATATTCATGCTGCTGAGGTGCTAAAATGAGAGAAGGGTGAGTATGTGGCTACTTTGCTAACCATTGAAGAGATATGTGGCTAAATAAAACAGTGCTGTTAGCATTAGCCGCTGTCATAGGATAGGTTAGCTTGATAGTTAGCATGCTTGTTACTAAGAGCTAAGCGAGCTAGCTAGCGTAGATTTCGGTTTTATAGTCACTCAGTTCAAAGCTTGGTATATTGCTGTTTCGGAAATAGTTCGGCTTGACAGTCCATAAATGCTGTCGGTAATGTTAAAGTTATCGTTTACCGGATAGTGCTAGTTTTCATAGCTATCTTAACGTTAGTCGTTGCTTTTATGTGCTTTTCACCAGGCTGCTAGCTGTCAACATATCTTCCTTGTGGGTGGGGTCAAGAGATGTTTTGTTTTAGTCTTGTATTTTTTACATTTATTTTATAAATGTATCCTGATGTTGTATTCAGCAACATTAACGTAGATTTAACGTATTCCCGTTGGTGGTGCTTGTTCCTGGTTCTGGAAAGCCCTACCACTTCTACTGACCACACCTGATGAGGTGAAGTTTCAGTTCATCCAGACTTGGTGGCCACCACCCCTGTTGTTGGTTTAACTCACTGACAGACAAGTGATGGTTGTGATCAGAGATCAGGCACGTAGCATTTGATTTGCCCTGAACACAGGATGGAGATGCACGGTGTTGTTCCCAGAAGTTGAATAGTTTCCAAGGAGGCTTTTTTGATTATGGGGGTTTTAAGCCTAAACTAACTAATCTACCCGGTATCTCATATTTACCAGATATGTAATTTGTATATACATTAATGTGAGTATTTGTTAGTTTTTTCTCAAATTGACATACACCGGGGTTTTGCATTGATGCACTAAATCATTTTTTTTTTAACAATCACTTTGGCCTCTGAAGGGTATATGTCATTCGTTTTTTAATTACATATACTACAAACAAATTGAATTGACTATGATTTTAATGTGGACCACATGTTCTGGCCAGCATAAGTACATCCTTACCATGTTTTTAGTAATACTTTCTTTAATCAGGCACATTCATGTTGAAGCACCTCCCTTTTACTCTTCCTTTTGTTCTTTCTTTATTTGCAGAGTGTGTGTCCAGTGACTCAGCTCTTGTGTCGCCATGGAGAAACCCTGGAGGCTGTGGGCGGCAGTGGAGCGTTGTACCCTGACTCTGGCCTCCTGGTCCTGGGGTGCTTGTCGAGTCTCACTCTTGGCTCTCATCCTCACCTTCCACCTCTATGGAGGCTTCTTTCTCCTAGCTCTTATCCTAGCGTCTGTGACTGGCATCCTCTACAAGTTTCAGGATGTGCTCCTCTACTTCCCTGACCAGCCCTCCTCCTCGCGACTTTACGTTCCCATGCCAACAGGAATCATCCTCATGAGAATGTGTACATTCGCACCAAAGACGGTGTGAAGCTTAATCTCATCCTGCTTCGCTACACAGGAGGCGACACACCTCCTGGGGCTACCTCTGGCAATCAAAGCAGCCCAACTTCCTCTGCTCCACCAACCATCCTCTATTTCCACGGTAACGCAGGTAATATTGGACACAGGGTTCCAAACGCCCTGCTCATGCTGGTCAATCTGAAAGCTAATGTGGTGCTGGTGGACTACCGTGGATATGGAAAGAGTGAGGGGGAGCCCTATGAGGATGGGCTGTACCTGGATGCAGAGGCCACGCTGGACTATGTCATGACCCGTCCCGATCTGGATAAGACAAAGGTGGTTCTGTTCGGCCCGCTCACTGGGGGGTGCTGTGGCTGTGCGCCTGGCGTCAGTCAACCCTCACCGCGTAGCAGCCATTGTTGTTTGAAAACACCTTCCTCAGCATCCCCCACATGGCAGCGACGCTCTTCTCCTTCATACCCATGCGCCTGCTGCCCCTGTGGTGCTATAGGAATCAGTTCCTAGTCCTATCGACAGATGGCGCTGTGCCGCATGCCTTCGCTGTTCGTGTCCGGCCTGTCAGACCAGCTCATCCCACCAGTCATGATGAAGCAACTGTATGAAATGTCCCCTGCGCGGACTAAACGCCTGGCTATCTTTCCAGAGGGCACACACAACGACACGTGGCAGTGTCAAGGCTACTTCGCTGCTTTGGAGCAGTTCATTAAAGACCTGATGAAGAGCCACGCCCACGAGGAGAGTGCTCAGCCCTCATCTAGTGTAACCATCATCTGAAATGACAGTCAGGGATGACTGTTGACTCCAGATTATAAAATGGAGGAAGTGACGGCTGTCACAGTAATTGTTTGGATGTACTTATTCAATTTTTTTGAAAAGAATGTACCTTTTTATGCTTGTGTGGGTTTCTATATATTTCACTCTTCTATTCTACCTTTTCACTTTATGTAAATATAACTTTTGTTTAAATCATTTGACTATTTCAAGGTTTTAAGAGAGGGTAACAATGCCCTCATGGTTCTTTTGTGTTGCAGCTATGAATGCATGTATTTATGACCTTAAATGAATGAAGCCAGATCATACATGCCCGTACTGCAAGACATGTCACTACCACAGCAATCTGTAATGGGTCTACTGAAATTAAACTGATTACTACTGGAAATAAAATTAACCTCATATCAAATAAAAAACACTGATATGTAGGCCTATACTGTATATATATTCGTTAATATTACATTTTTTTTAAATTTCAGATTTACCCGAGTTTGGAGTTATGTCGGCTAACATCTTCTGAGCAATACTTGGAAATCTTGTCTGGCACAATTGCGTAAAGAACTTGTGCTGTTGAATAATTATATTCAGCCATCAAAATATTTGAGGTGGCTCTGACATATTACTTCTGACTATTTAAAATAACTTATTGAGATATAATTTCCTGTCTAAGTGCTTCTGTTTGGCGCGGTTTGGCTAAGCCTACAAGATATTTACCCTGATCCTCTATCCTGTTAAAACAGAATAAGGTACATTTTCCTCATTGCCCAAAATGCTTTTTGAAGCCCACCTACTGGCTACTGTAGTTTGGTAAAGAGCAATTGCTCTGTTTGTGGTTTATTATTTAAAGGATAGGTGAAGTTTTCTACAAGTTTATTAGTACCCTACAACACATCAATATCTACAATGAAACGTTGCCTGTGTAAGCCTCCTTCCCTAACTGACGGGATGCACTTAAGTAAATCCAAGATAGTTCAAGAAAAGATGGTGGACAAAATAAATATTCTTTTTTCATGCAAATAAAAATAAAATATAAGGCTTCTGCAGTCTGTGCAAGATACATTAAGTGAATATTTTTTTCAAGATGGTGTAGTGAAAAAAAATGGTTTCCCTGCTCCTCAACCCAAACTAAAATGTTCCAAAAGAGATTTAGTGTAGAAAATGACATTCATTTCGTCAAACTCAGGGCGAAGCCTCATATTACAAGTGCAGGATTTGTCCCTTGTTTCTTACAGTCTAAGCACACTAGGAAGGGATTCTTAATGGCCAGTATAGACAGAAGGATCGATTACAGCGACCAATTACTCCGTCAAATACATGGCATGTGAGTATTGTATAGAATAGTCTTGAAATGATCTGAGCCTATCCTTTAAGAACTCAAAATAAAGTGTGAGCATTTTAAAGGAATTATGTGAGTATTTGTTTACCATCATCAGCTTTCTAATTTGTCGTCGGAGGATTCTAGGTGTTCGTCTCATCCCATGCTTATGTGGCAAAAAGGCTTTACTCTCTTGGAGGGCTTTTGATGAGCTAATGAACCTTTCCTGCATGTCTTCCAGGGGGAGAAAAGCCGGACGATTAGCACACTGTTTCCTGCTTTTGCTTTCCAAATGCAGCCTGCTGCACTGCAGTGGTTCTAAAGCCATTTGAATACAGATATAGGCTACTTAGCCATATTTGATACTGTTTCCAAACAGTATGCAGAACAAAATTCAACAAACATCAAAAGACCAAACTTGGCATCAATGTGAAACGGAAAAATGGGCTTAATGAATGTAAATTGTTGTGTGCTTTTACAAGATTTACTGTATAGATGTTCTCTTTTCTCCCTTTTATGTGTGACTTACTACCCCCAGTGGCAAACAACAGTTTCAGACATGTTTTACTTGTGTCAAATCCATAAAAGAATTCGATTTATCCCATTATATGTTGTAGAGCACATTATGCAATCTGGATTCAACCTTGTGAATAGAAACTCATTTTAGTTCCACACTTTGTTTTCCACACTTCTGCTGTTTGCATGACAACATGTCTTCATTCAGGAAATATATAGAACTTCAACGTCATCATTCACTTAATTGTGAGGGTGGCTGGCCTGAAGCAAATTAATTCTAACTAAAGAATTGGGGTTTTTATTCTAGCCACATGTACCAACACCCTGTTGATGAAAAGAAATGGAATCAAACTGAATGTGTCTTCATTTTGTTTTCTTAATCTACCAGTTCTCTGCAAATGCACTATTGAACATATTTGTATCTATTCATATGATTGTTATTCGAGTAGAATGAGTGATGTTGAAAGTGTTGGCATCATTTGGAATTTCCATTTGCCAGCTGGCATGTGATTTACGTTTCCTTTCTCTAATGGACCTGCACAGTGTTTGTTTGTGTTAATCTACAATGACTTACAGTAACTCCACATGATGGAGTATCTGAACAGTCAGACATCTGAATGATTCATATTTATCCTCAACATAACACAGTCAGTTTGAGAGATTTTCCATCTTACATATTGTTTTTCTATTCCAAACAATGTCAACAACCATTTTTTGTAAGTACACATTTTCACTTTCTATTTTCTGTACTGTAACATGCAATAAATTGATACATTAAAAGCATGTCTTGTTATATATTTTTAAAGATTTCATAATGTAACCACTTCACACTTTTTTAATTCTGGGAATCACATTTGGTTTGTTTTGCCCTTTACATTTTTTCGTTCAAAGTTGAAATGTTGTACTTCCTTCTTTCAGTACATCTTGGCTCCCGTAGCTGTCACATTTAAATGTTATTAATAATGTCTTCATCTCTCTCCCCCTATTTTCCCCCACCATCTTGAAAGCTTTCCTTCTTGTTTGTTTCCACTAATTATCACATAGTTTTTTGAGAAGATTGAATGTGTTCTATCTTTCTAAAAGAGTGGGATGAAGATAAGAGAGAGAGATGTATCGTGGCAGGAAGCAGTGAGTGTGGTTAGCTGAGCGGAAGAGTAGAGGGGAAGCAGTTTTTTTTACAGTATTTGTTCTGCGTAATCTGTCAGACATAACTGGAACCGGCTACTGAAGGATACAATGAGAGTTAAGGAAGTTGCTGGAGCTTTTGGTGTGGCGATAAGTTAAAGCCAGAGGCACAAATGACCGAAACAAACGTCCAGCATTCCGAGCGCGTCTGTCTGGTGAGCAGTCAGTGTGAGCTGTTGGGAAATTGTATGGACCCTGGGATGGCAGTTTTGGCAGGTGTAGAGCCTGGAAAAAAGACAGATGAAGGGAGGCTGTCCTGGCCTGTTTTCCTGCTGACCCTAGCTGCCGTCACATCCTCCCTTTCTGCTCTGTCTCTGTACCAACTGGTGGCCCTCAGAGCCGAAGTAGAGGGACTCAAATCTGAGGTTTATCGCAGGAGAGAAGAAGGACAAGAGGCCAGGCATGGAAGCCAGGTGAGAGACAACTATTCCATAAAGACATCTTCTTCTGCACAGGATTTGAAAGGCAAGCATTCTACCAACATGTATTGTTTTTCTGCTTTTTGTGTCCATTCAGACTGATAATATTAGTAGGAGAAACAGCCATGAGTCCATGCATCAACCTGGGTCTCCCCTGCTGAGGAGGAGAAGATTAGTCTCTGGTTCAGAGACATTAGGTAAGACACGGTATGCTGCACCTGAACATGGTAGTCCACTGTAAGCAACCGTTAGTCCGTTATCAGGTCCTTTAGTTTCATGGGAAACAAGAGAGTTAATGTTTTACAAATCCATGTGTTCATTTGCAAAAGGACTGAGGGTGACCCGTTTCATTTCTGATGTTTAAGGGGGTATTTAAGGTATGAAGCTAAAAATCACAAAATGTCTCAGAGGTCTTTACATACACCATCTAACAAATGAGTTATGAGCGAAAACTCATAACTCAAGAAGACATTGTTCGTTTTAAATTGTATAATAGCCAAGTGCTAATGACTCATCATTTTTGGTGATAACCACTTGACAATAGGAAGTCTGATGTGGTGAGATTATGCAGCCATCCACTATTAACTAATGGCGTGAGTGTGTTCAACATTAGCTTGAACTATTAAACTACCTCTGGGGTGTACAGGACACCAATATGTAGATGTTGTTGCAAAGAGATGAACTTGTTGGAGAAAGGGAAGGAACAGATGGAAAAAGAGAGGCAGCCATGGAATAAGCAATGTACATATTGTTGGGAAACAGCTGACCAGTTTTAACATTTCTACATTTCTCATGTGTTTTAACAGTAACTCAGCCTTGCCTGCAGTTGTTGGCAAACAATAACAGGAGAACCTTTTCGAAAGGTAAAGAATGCTTGATCTGGACTATGATAGTTTTCTGAATTGTAATAGTGATTTTATTTACATTTTATCTGGATTGTAATTTGACATTTAGTATATGCATTAGTACAGCATTTCACCCTTGAAGTATCAACACCATCATTAGTGACTCCAGTAACTGATCTGAAACAGGATGACAGTCAGTATCCATCTTTGATGCTTTGACATGGTTTCTGATATATTCTTATCTTTCCAGAACATGACTCGGAGCCACACACAGGGATCCCCTGGCAGACTGGACTGAAGAGAGGCTCTGCACTGGAGGAAGATGGAGACACCATATTAGTCAGAGAGGAGGGATTCTACTTTGTGTACAGTCAGGTACATGTGTTCGCGTCATTGCATCGTTTTTCCACAGGGAGGTGCTGCTAGTCTGTTTGCCAAATACCAGATATCAGAAAAAAAGAGAACATGCCTACATGCATTGCAGAAAAAAGGGTGTGCTTGATCTTAGTATACATTCGGTTAACCTTGAAGGAAAGAAAGATAAAGAAGAGGACATGCAAATTCTGCATGCATATTCAATAAGCAGCAAAGTAGTAATTGATATAAAAGCCACATGACTGTTTAAACATGCCATGCCTCATCATACCACAGATTAACCCAGTGTTTCTGATGTGAACAGGTCTACTACATAGACAGCACCTTTGCAATGGGTCACGTGGTGATCCGCAGGAAGAGGAATGTGGTGGGAGACGAGCCTCAGTATGTGATCTTGTTCCGCTGCATCCAGAACATGAACCCTGTGCACGCTTACAACACCTGCTTCACCGGAGGTTAGTCTGAGTTGTTGTTAAAGCCAAGTTCACGCTGTTTTACAACACCTGTTATGGAAGGCCAGCAAGTGTTTGTATTCATTATTCAAGCTCTCAAGCTTATGTGTGTCTGGGGATTGGCTGCATTGTTGTGAAGCTGTTAAAAAAAAAAGGCAGTTCTTTGTCTCAAGTGTCCTTTGCATCCCTCAGGTATTGTAAAGCTGGAGGTCAGGGACCACCTGGAGCTGCTGATCCCTCGTTCAACCGCCAACGTGTCCCTGTCTGGAGAATCCACCTTCCTGGGTGCTGTCAAACTGACTTAAATTGTGACAACCACAATGTGCACCTGGAGATGCTGTTGTGGCAGGAAAGGGGTACCATCAAAGTAACAAGGCACAGTTCTAGTGACCTCGTCTGACTGAGACAATATGTGAGGTGAGGTGAGGTGAAGAATAAGGAAGCAACCGTTTTCTGCATTGGCTGAACAATAGACGTGTCACTCATTGTGTGTTCAGCCTGACGGGACATGAAGAGGACTGAGTCACATAACATATAGTCTTTACTCGTTCAAAAATACATACACCTAGCTTCATCAGTATGGTAATTTCGACAACACAACAGGGAAAAGGTGTTGTAAAAAGTACTTTTTCTTTAAATATTCACACATGGCAATATCTGCATTATAATTGTTGTATCATTCTCATACTGTTTAGTTCATTTATCTACTCCTGTAGTGCATTACTGAAATAGTTATTTCCATCTGCTTTGTTATTACAGATATGTAATCATAAACAACAGTTATTAACTATATGTCTACTCAAAAATTCCGATGCAATAAAGAAAGAGTTCTTGCACAAGCCATGACATCATCTGGAATCTGGGTGGGTGTTGTTCCTCTGCTGGCCACAAGGGGGAAATGTGTTCAGTGTGGCAGATCATCCTGCCAGGCAGCAGAGAGACAAGTGTGGCTCAGGTTGAGCAGGAAATGTAGAACTTGGATAAAGTGTCTATTTTTAGATTGAGATAAACTGTACAGGCAGATGATGTCTGCACATTCATAGGAGATGCTGCTCAATGCATTTGTAATGCCTGCGGAGCCTGGAGGTAATAGTGAAATGGTGTTAATGGATTAATCTTCATGTTAAGCTTTAGGAAGAGGGAGGGAGAGTCTGAGGCAGGATCCAGACACATTTTGATCAATGGCAAAATGCACAAGAGACATTACTCCCCAACCCAATATTTGTATGGTATAATTTTCTTCTTTCACTCATCCTCTGATAATGCTACTGGCTTACCGCATGTGCTAAGAGCAAAAACCAAACTGTTACATCACGAAAAAAACAAAACAAATTTAGTCATAGACCTTTCTTTAAAATGTAGATCGTGGCATTATTGAAGGTTTGTTTTATTTTTGGTTTCTTCCATTTATCCCAATCTTGTTTTGTTATTAAAGTAGCCTAGTCATGTTGACCTGACCTTTACTTTTAAAATATGGATCTACTCAGTCTGAAAGTCACTCAGTCACAACATGCATATTGTTTTTTTTCAGCCAGCTAACTGTTTGTTTGAAAGAAATTGATATTTATGTATTACTATTTGGGTTCTCATTTACGCACCACCCTGTCCAGCCATTTTCTCCCTCTCTGCTCACTCACACACACACACACACACACACACACACACACACACACACACACACACACACACACACACACACACACACACACACACACACACACACACACACACACACACACACACACACACACACACACACACACACATACACACACACACAGTCCAAAAGAGGGGGAGGGAAGAAAAAGGTCTAAAATAGAAGTCTTGGAAAGAAAGATTTCAGATGGACTAAATGGATAGCAGTAGCCATTAGTGGAATAGAGAGAGAGAGAGAGAGAGAGAGAGAGAGAGAGAGAGAGAGAGAGAGAGGAGAGAGAGAGAGAGAAGAGAGAGAGAGAGAGAGATAGAGAGAGAGAGAGAGAGAGAGAGAGAGGAGAGAGAGACTAAAACAGAGAGCAGGCCTGGCCCATGGTACAATAGCAAGGGAAGTCAGAAACGCTCTTTGATACTCTGGTAAACAGAGCAGGCGGCTGTAACAACACGATTGGAAAATAAGAAGTAGGGGGAAGGAGGGTATAAGAGAAGTGGGGAGCACAGACCTCTCCTATACATGTGTCAAGCATGATGCTCCCCCTCCCTCATGGCCAGAAATGTCTTTGTGTGGTGCCATGGTGACGGCTGGTGTGTTGGCGGAAGCTGATGTCATTGTGGGCTCGCCTCTCAAAAGAAAAACCAGCGTCTGACTGGAGAATCAGTGAAATGAGACCTGCTGAGTACTCATGCTGGCACTGTGTATCGTTCACACACTCACACACATGTGGCAAGTGCACAGATTTATATCAAACCCACAAAAAATCTGAAATGTTATTTTCACACATACATACTTAAAATGTTATATATTTGTTACGATAATTACATTTCTGTTTAGTAATAGTTTGATCATTTACTTTGCATTAGGATAAACACATTCAATCCATTTTTAGCTGGAGCTGACAATAAACATGCCTTAAATGTTTAATGGTTGTCATTTGAAACAGTCTTACAGAAACTAAACAAGAAAAATACATGCCAATATTTTTTTCCCTCTTTTTCAAAGGCACATCACTAAAAATGATGTATTTTCACAGGAAGTACAGTAAGCAGGATAACCTCATATATACATGTTTTGTGTGATTTTAGTTAAATTCTCAAGTAGCACAGTACAAAATATGTTGCGTCCTTTAAAGAGACATAGGTACAAATCAGTGGAATCATCAGTCAATCCCTTAGAATCTGACTCCACCAGCATCTCTGTGTCCCCATTTGTCCTTTTCATTTCTCCATCCTCCCTCTCTCCGTGTTTGGGAGCTTGAGGACATGCCTGACTGATGAGAGTGGCTAAAGTTGATCCCTGAAGCCAAATATTAAAAGCCAGCGAGCTCTGTTTCTGCAGCAAAACCAACAAATAGTCAATCTGCAGCTTTTGCAACATAGATTTGCACATAAATACACTTAAATGCACAGTAATGTCCTCCCATAAACACTGACAAAATATAGGCTGCAGCCTACATCTATTCTACATCATATCAGTGTGCTTCAGTGTACAACACCGTTTGTCTGTGTACTTCTCTAGTATTTGGGGATTACTTTGATCTGCTGCAGTCAGACCAGAGTAATCAGGCTGATCCAGAGCCCTCCAGCTGAACTGGCAGCAGCACTGCATGGATTTCTTATTTAAGTGAGGATTTGGTTTACCAACATCCACGATCGTGCCATCCGTTACTATAAAGTCTAAACACCGTGTTCTGTGCCAGCATTTCTGTATTTTTGATCGATTCAGCTCGAAAAGACACTGACTGCTTTTGATCTGAAAAACCTGATTGACCAATTATAATGAAAGGTTTATTCGTTTTAAACAGTGTTAACGTTAGATCTGGTTTAGTTTTATCTCCCCTGACAGGATCTGTTGGAATATAAGCTTATCTATAATTCATATAGTTCTGCCTCTGCCAGGAACCAAACTGTCATGAAATGTAAGGCTTGCAATCTGCATGTTCGAATTAAAGAGTAAAAAACTGATTCAAAAGTTGTCTCTGTTCAAGATCATCTTGATAAATCGTTAATTTTTTCTAGGTCTTTTTTTCCACAAGGACATTGGCCTACCACAGGGGAAAAAACATCACATATGAAAGAGGAGAAAAGGATTTTGGTTTTCCACAATTTGGCCCCCTTTCTTCTCTTCATCTCCTGACTCCCACACTCTGCGTCTTTATGGCTCCAAGATGGAATTTTGGCAAGGGCACAGAGAGCCAGCAACATTTGTCTGGGTCTTTTTTGTCTCTTTTTTAGATGCCCTCCCCTCACACAGATCAACGGGCTGCGGGAGTAACTGTGCACTTTGTTAACGCTGTAAATGTTCTCTTTTACACTCGTCAACTGATCTCCTCATCTCTACGCAACACTTCGTTCAAAAACATACAGTATAGGGAACACAATGGCCTTAACATTGCATCAACATGCATCTTTTGAGATCCCTGTAAGCATGAACACAACTAAAAACCCCAATTATTATAAGAACACAGATTACTATAAATTGAGGTATATTCATGTTGGTAGCCTATGTCAAAAATATTCTTGCGACAAGATTTTTACAGAAATGTGGTTAATCTAGTGCTCATGATTGCTAATAGTCATAATGGTGCTTTACATTGATGTCAACATGCTAACAGGCCTACAATGACATTGCCAACATGCTGATGCGTAGGTATAACGTTTACCAATTTCACCATTTTAGTTTAGCATTAAAGCGTGCTCAAATGAGCTCAGTTGCATTAAACAAACAGTTTAGCTGAGGGTGATGGGAATGTCATTTGTTTTGTTAATTCTGAAACAAAGTATTAGACCATTTGTTATTTCCATCCCCAGACCATGATGCAAGCATGGTTGAAAATTGAAAACAAAGATTAAATTACGTCACTATCAGGAAATATATAGTCGAATAATTCTATAATTTCCTCGTAATTTCAGCAGCAGGTGCATGCTGGGTATAGCTAGCTAACATGTGCTAACCATAGGTGCCAACTTGTTCAGGTGTGTGACTCAGTGTGAGACCATTGTTGGCAACAAATACCTTGAATTTGAGGAGTGAAGATGGGTTGACAAGTTGTATTGGAGGGAGACTGAACGAGCAGAACACTTTGAGGATTTCGTTGCGGTGCTAAATCTCCGAAAATGCTCTTTAGGAAGGTGGGTCCTACTTGAATTATATTTAAAACGTCACAACCACTGTGTATGAGGTGTCTAATACATGTGCTGTTTATTTGTGTTTACTAGTAGGGCCTATGTTTGTGCGATGTAGCTACTGCCGAGTTTACTGCAAAGCCTATACATATTAATCTATTTAAATTGCTCAGTAGGCCTACACTAAACACAATTCACAAAACCACACCCAATGTGCAAAACACCTAATTTCTCCTGCTAAATGAACTGCACTCAAAACTACATAAACACTTACCGAATGCAAACTTTTGCACCAAATGTAACACACTTCATTCATAATACTAGATTGTTTGACCACCCAACTACACACTGCTGAGCATACTCTAAAGCACTTTCATCTTTTATGGGCTATGCTCTGTACATAGAGGTTTCTGCAGAGAAAGATTGCTTGAGTTTACAGAAATACAGTACATGAAGAAATACAAATGAGTTGTTGAAAAAAAAATCACATTTTATTCTGCTGCTTCCTGTGCCTCATTGGAGATCCTTAGCCTTCCACCTGCACCTCTTTTTTTTTCTCAGTCCTTCAGATAAACAACAAAGACAGAGTGGTTGGTCAGTGTCTCTGTGTTGCATAAAAGTAAGTTTACCACAGTACATTGTGCAGGATTTTTGTACAGTTATAGTATGCAACATGCCAACAATTCAATTACAGTAATGAAGTAAATACGTTTCACACAACAGATATAAGCTCTGATATATCATGAATTATGCAGAGCTACAAACTGGTAACTAACCTGTTATCAAGTCTAAGCGTCCGGATTACAGAGGCAACAGTACATCGGCTTAGATTAGGCTGAACCCTCTGTCCAGCCTCTCATCATCAAACCATGGTTGATAACATTTCATTTCATTAGAGAGTATTCTTCTTTGTCCGCGTCCTCTCCCTCCAGCTCTACCTCTACCTCTCATTCTTCCCCCTCTCACTCTCCTCCTCCTCCTCCTCCTCCTCCTCCTCCTCCTCCTCCTCCTCCTCCTCCTCTTCTCACTCTCAGCCCAGCTCTTCCTCCTCAGCCCAGCTCTTCCTCTTCCTCTTGCTCATGCTTCCACGTTGGCTTCCATTGTTGCTGTAAGCAAGTACTCACCTATGGTCTTTTTATAGTGCTAACATCCTGATTGATGAGCCAACAATCATGCTATCAGGTGTTTGGTCATGTGTGAGGCATTTTGAATATCAGTGTTTTAAAGCTGCTAACACGTGACTTTATGTCAGATTCCTGTCTTACGCTTTATATACAGTCTATGGTCTTACGTGGAGAAACGTGTGCAGTGGTTGCACAAAGTGCCATGTTGATTTGCAAATTGTGTGAAAAGCTGAAAACATGTTTAGAGTTTTGGAGATTTGAGCCGATATTTTGCTCTTTGAGTGTCAGTAAAAATAATTGTGCTTTATGTATAATTTTAGTGTGTTAGCAATCGAGAAAAACTGTAATGCTCATTGCTCAAAGCGCAGCTCTGTTGGTCACTTTTTAAGCTTAAAGGTCCCATGTCATGGCCATTTCTACTGATCATAATTCCATTGTTGAGGTCTACTAGAATAGATGTATATTGTGCAATTTTCCAAACTCACATTGGTTTCTCATACAGCATCTCTGTAGTTTGTGTATTCACTCTGTCCTAAACGGCTTGTTGGA